ATATATATATATATATATATATATATATATATATATATATAGATATATATATATTAGATATATATATATATATATATGTATGTATATATATATATATATATATATATATATATATATATATATATATATATATATATATATATATATATATATATAATTTATGTACATATATATGCATATATGTATATATATATATATATATTGATGCATATTAAACGAACCCAACTATATTTCGATACGTTATTTGAGTGTTATATTTGAGTCCCTTGGCTATACCATCTACAAAACGAACCCTCGCTCACTGTTTCCAAACAGTGGGTCGTTGTCCGCGTAAAGAAACGCTACGACTAGGACTTCTCTAGATTTCTTGTATCACGTGCCTGTGCCACAATTTAGTCAAAGTATATGATATGGACCACAGGCGTATTCTTGGGTTTTAACCAGACCTGAGCGCTGTATTCATTGACAGGTCCAGGAGTGTCAAGTGTCAATGGGCGCACCAGCGATCCAAACACACGCAGCAATAGCTACTATGACATGCTACAGTACTGCAAGAGCTCATACTGAGCCTACCGTAGTACAAGTGAACATACTAAACCAAACACCCCCATCTTCACCAGAGCCAGAGCCTTCCCCTGAGCCCCCCCAACAACCCGTCCAAGGTACTGCGGAGACTGTAAACGAGGCCACTGCACCCGGACCTCAATCAACTGGGCCTAGGGGTATGGGGTGCACAATACTATATATGGGTTTTAGGGTTTAGGATCATGAGTATACATACATACTGTGGGGTGTGGTGTATATACCCAAGCCTATTGGATTGTGTTGTACGGTATGGCACGTGGCTCTAGTGCGTCGTACACTATCGCACTTGTCTTGTGTCTGGGAACTCAACTGGGACTACAAGCCACTCCACAACTCTGGAGGATAACCCATTCACTTAAGACGGACATCGGATATATGTTTTAGGGGTTCTAGGGTTTAGGGTTTCTAGGATCGGATATATGATAGCTTTTATGTATGTACCCTTTTTATTCGCTATGTGTGTGCCAGTAGCATATATATATATATATATATATATATATATATATAGTGTGTGTGTGT